TGTCAGCTCGAATACTGGTTCTTGCACAGGCAACACGATTAACGGAAAGCTTAAAATGAAAACTCAAATTCACTGACTTAACAGCCTAATTTCTAGGCGAACAACCACCTTAGCAGTAGGGACCAGTGATGCATTACTCACAGATCATAAATTGAAATAATGAAGAAAAAAATTACAGAAAAGGTACTACCAGATAAAATCAACTGATAAACCTGCACAGAAGCGAATTGCGAAGACACTCGTTCATTATAAATCCTATCTACAAAATGCAAGCGATACGCCATAAGCGAACTGTAATCGAAGACAAGATACCTCAACAAAATCAGAATGATGAAGAAAAGAACAACAATACACAGCGCGAAGAAAGGAGAGTCGACATATTAGAAGCTTTGTAAATCAGGTGAGACTGACGATGTCGTTATTGATGAATAGATTGTGTTTGGAATCTGAAAAGGAGAATCAGAGGACCCGAAATATTCCCTACAGTTCAAAGAATTTATTATTAGCGCATCCGCAACCATATTGCAATGTAAAGCTTCTCAGGGACAACTTGATTGCTTGAATTAACTGAGAAAAGCGATTAACCTGAAAGTTGCTCTGGCCAGCCGCAGGAATAATGTGCCATTGCTTCTTTATTCACTACTTCGAGTTTCAATTCAAGATCAAATAACTCAACTGCATTTACTCGCGAACATCAACAGCATTTAAAAATTTCATAGGGTGTACCTCTCTATTTCACTAATATGGCTTTGAACCTCAAAAACTATCTATATTTTAAGAACCTGAATTTGCCACCTAAATTTTCACTGATTACTTACCACAGATGAACTTAGTCTGCTCCTAAACCCGCCAATCTGGACCGCAGCTCGGTATGGGTGGCTGGATCAATAGTCCTTCTTTTTTTCTGAACATTTCCCGTTATGTTTAGTTTGGCTTTGGTTTCATTCAGTGTAACTGGTACAGGTATTGCAGCCTCGCTGGAAACATAATAGACAGCTAGACAAAAAGACCGATTAAACACTGCCCCAAATGATACTAACCTTGTGAAGCTGTCTGTATTTATGTCCCTTGCTTGGAGAACAGAGGCATTGGGAGAGTCACCCAATGATGTGGATATTATCGTGGATGAACGTCCACCTTGCTTCATAGCTTCAAAGCGAGAGCGCGAGATGAACAAATCCTGGGCAGCCGTAACTGCTTGCTACAATATATGCACTGTTAAGCAGACTGGGCACGAAATCAAAACTCTTCTTTTTCGAGGATTAACGCTAAAAGCAAGCACAATATTTATTGGTTAGTGCAAAATGCAGCAAGGGTATAATTATGGCCGGTAGAAATACCAAATATAAAAACCAAAAACAGAACCATAAATTCGTAAAGCTTCCCGAAGCGAAGTGCTTTCGGGCACATCGTTTAGAATGATGAGGCGC